GGGCCTGGCAGTTCAGGCCCCAGATGTCTGCAACTGCATGAGAGACACCAAGCCAGAGCTGCTAACTGAACCTGCTGACTCCCAGAATCATGAGGGGTACTAATTACTGTTATTGTTTTTAAGCCACTGAGCTTTGGGATCATTTTTGTGCAACAACAGATCATTGGAATAGCCCCATAGCACACTATGTTTGGAAAGACTGGTCTACGCAGGCTTGGCACACATGAGGCACATGTGCTACTCTCTCTCCTACGGTACTCAGAGCAGACATCACTAATCGATGAGAGCACTCCCTGAGGCCAGACCTGCCTTAGAATCCTGTTCAACCAGAAATCCAGGCAGTCACTACAAATTGAGCTGAGTCAGGGAAAACAGATTTGCCATCAGAGATCTAAGGTTTCAGTAGGCTGTGCCCAAGAAAAGTCCAAGTTTCTGAATAATAAAGCAGCCACTGTTATCACCTAGAGGTAGTTTAGGGGAAATGCAGGCAAAGTAGCTCAGGCTGCAGCCCATGCAAACTTAAATACAGAATGGATGACAAGAGCCACTCAGTGGGGTCTAAGCACCATGCTATTTGCCTGGCTGTGCCCTAGATCATTCCTTCTTCCATGGTTCATCCAGATGGAGGGTCTCTCCCAGCCCTTCCCTTCACTAACACAGTGTCAGAAGTCCCATGGTTGACACGCGAGCTGGTGTTACCAGCTTAGCCCTGTGACCCATTCTCATAGAGCCAGAGCCAGGCTCTTCTCTTCTGACTGCTCTCAGAGATGCCTGGAAGACCAGCTTCCGGAGCCTTGCTTCCTGGCCCCACCCCACCATCCCCGTGGTGTCCTTTGGCTGCAGAGCCTGCAGGCCAGGCAGCTATTGACAGACAAGCTCCCCTGAGAGGAAAAGGGAAGAAGACCCATTTCCCCACATGCCTCTTGCTGGCTGCTGACACAACGTCACAGCGTGTGGCTAGAAAGTGAAAGTCCGGCTCCCTGGCTGGGCATTCTATGAGCAGGGCCTCCAGGTAACTGATCTGACCTCTCGTTCTTGCGGGAGGAGTCTGAGCTGCCTGCCTCTTACTTTGATGGCCACCATGTAAGCAGGCAGCGCAGCAGCAGCAGGAACAAAAGTGGAGTGGAACAGACCGGAAGTGAAGGTCAGGCCTGAGCGAGGAAGGAAAGTGGCCTACCTGTTGACAAGCAGGAAGTTCGCCATGAGGCACAGCACGGAGGGCACGGTGGAGGCGATGGAAAGGTAGCTCTCAAAGTGGTTCTGTAAGCACATAAGTGAGGAGGCCCCTGAGGTCACTTGGGATGGAGGGGAGGGGCCCCACCCGAGCACAAAGACAGGGCCCCTCTTGGTGGGTCTTCTCCCCACTGTTTTCAGATACCTACCAGTGATGAGTAAATCTACTCCAAGGTGGCATTGTCCTGCCGCATCTCCAACCTAAGACCAATCACTCGGCCAGTCAACACCAATATGAGCTGTGCTAAGTGCTAGGGACATAAGGAAGGACCTCAGAGAGGTCCCCAATGCTCTGCAGTCCATGCTCCCACCTATTCCACCTGACCTTCCCGTGGTAGAGGTAATGGCAAGAGGATTCAATGTATGTCTACAAAGAAAATTTTCCCTTCGGTCTTCTTAATCCATTGTCATTTCCGAATGATCCAAATGGGTTTTGTTCTGACCCAACCACATTCTCGCAACCAGTGCAGCCTCTTAGGAATACACCAAGCCCTGATCCCTGCAGGGAAACTTTGTTCTGACCCTGGATTGGCTTCCTCAACAGAGCTGCTACCCAAGGTCAAAGCCCCTTTGGGACGTGGCTCCTACACTGGCCAGGATGAGGAACAAGGGCATTTTCTGGAAGCAGTTCAGGGGTATTAGAGACAAAGAGTACATGAGACCACAGACAAGGTGAAGAATCCTCATTATAATGAGGAGGATCCAACTGCTAAAGATGCGTGATAACTGTAGATGATTTTCACACCTCAGAGAACTATCTACGCATTAGGGTGGATTTCACTGTGTGTACATTATACCTCAACATAAAAAAACACACACAAAAAAACTGGACAGGGCTGACAGATCTTGGCTTTGGTCATTGTACGTCAAGCCATGGACCCCAGGTCAGTAATGATACGTTCTAAGCTGTGATAAAGGCTTACATGTATTAAGCATTTCCTGTGTGCCAAGGGCTTCATATAAATTATATTGTTTATCCTAAGAAATAATAAAAAAAAAAGCTGTGGGTATTCTATTTTGGAAAGCTTATGAAACTGAACTTGACGGAGGACATATTCCGAGTTACAAATGTGCTAAGCTCAAAGAACAACCGTGTGCAAAAAACTTGCCAGTGTGCAAAGAACTTTGGCAACTGGAGGGATCACTACAGAGTATAAGACATGCCTCCTGCCCTTTAAGAGTGGAGTGTAAAAAAAAAAAAAAAAGAGTGGAGTGTACCACTGGGGTGTAAGATAAAATGTGAAGGTTTTTTTAAACATCTCGAAACACCACGGGAAGAGATGTTAGAATGCTGTGATTTTTTTTTTTTTTTTTCTGAATCAGAAGTAGAAGCAGTGAGTTTTAAGGGAGTTCCAGGTAGGGGAGTGGGGCGAGCGGGGCTGAGTACTTGAGAGAATGGGAATGAGTGTGGGTTTGGGGAAAGGTCCAAGGGGAGGGGATTTGAGTCAGACCTTGCAACACAGGGTCAGGGCTCTCCTTTCTGGGAGAGTTTGATTGCAATGTGGAGGCCAAGAAAGACAGATGTCATAATGGGCTATCTTCTAGTCTGAAGCACAAGCCATTCCACCGTTCCCTTTTTAAGCCCGCAGAGTGCTTTGTGGTCTTTGAAAACCTCTACCCTGAATGTAAGGTCGTGGCAGCCTTGCAATTAAAATGATAATCACAGCTCATGTGGTCCATTAACCATGAGCCTTAGAAATAGCCCTCCTCCTTTGAGGTGTCACCTCACTGTTCCTGTCCTGATGGGCTCAGTAGAGCCTGGACTGGTCTAAGGCACTCAGTCAATTATATCTTGACACAGTTGTTGGGCCTACGTGAGGCCAGGCAGGTGCCAGGCAGGTGCAAGGGAAAAAGGCCCCCAAGGAACAACTGGCTGCAGGTGGGGGCCAAGACTGCTCCCGATCCGAAGCCCCCGGGGCAGCACCCTTCATTTAGGGGCTGCTCATTCCAGGGCAAGTCCACACAGGACCACCACACGGGATGCAGAATCTCTTTGTTTTTTGAGCAGGTTCAGGTTCCCTGTTTTAGGAATGGAGTTTTTTCTAGGTAATTGAATGTTCTGGTTTGTTGATACTTAAACAGAAAATTGTTCTTTTAACATTGGAACGCTTTTTAAATATTGACAACTGGGTAAGGCTATGGCTCCCTTTCTGTTGACTGAGCGCGTTTCTCTGCTTTACAAAGAGCATGGTGGGGGGGGCCAACAGGGAGGGAGTCGGGGGCGCGCAGAGTGGACTTGACCCTGAACCTTCTTTCTACTGGTAGAGATCCGGGGCTGCAGACTGCAATGTGGGTTGACGCAGCACATCCCATGCAGCTTTTCTTTTTTTTAACCTAATTCCTAATACAAACGTGGTGGTATTTACTAGTTATTTGCTGCTCTTGCCTATAGAGGTCTAGCAAAATGAGGTGTGGTGGGCAGATTCTTTTAAAGTGGCCCCATGATCCTAGCCTCCTGTGTTCACATCCTGTATGATCCCCTCCACAGAGTGTGGGCGGAACCTGTGACTAGCTTCCAAGCAAGAGAACACAGCAAAGGTGGCAGGTATACATGATGATGTGTATGGGATTATGTTACACGAGATGGTAGCACCTGTCTTGCTGGACTCTTTTTCTCTCCTTTGATGCCTTGCAGGAGGCAGTGGCCCTGCCAGAGAACCCCACATGGCAAGGACTGCAGGCAACCCCTAACTGCTGAGAGTGGTTTCTGGCCAACACCCAGCAAGAAACTGAAACTCTCAGTCCAACAACTGCAAGGAATTGACTTCTGCCAACAACCCAAGTCATCCTGGAAGCGAACCTTCCCCAGTCGAGCCTCCAATGAGACCATAGCCTTGGCCAACCCCTTAATGGAGGCCATGTGAGACCCTGAGCCAAGGACCCAGCCAAACTGTGCCCAGACTCCTGGCCTCCAGATACTGTGAGATAATGAATGTGTTCTTTTAAGCCACTAAATTTGTAGTATTTTGTTAATCAGCAATAGATTCCTAATTAATGAGGGTTTCTGATAGCTGAGTTCCTGTTGCAATTTAAATTCAGTTCCTCAACAAAAACCAGGACAGCTGAGCAAGATCTTTTTATTCAGCTTCCTGCCAGACATGAAGACCAATATGTCTGCCCATGAAGGGAACAGAGGTCATGCTTGCTGACCACATCAGTCTCCTTAGCCTTTCCTCATCGAATCCTTTGCTGAGATTACGATCATTTCTGCAAGTGGCATACACTGGTTTCAAGGAACTGGACTTGGTTTACATGCCACCCCCCAGAGCTGCTCATCTTGCCCGCCCCTCAGGCCATGTGCCTTGCTACTTGGCCTTATGGTCATAAAGCCACTGCCACCAGAGAGGAGAGACACCTGTGCCTGCTTAGAGCTGGGCTGCAACTTCAGAGGCTCTTGCTCCCCAGGTGGCTGGGGGAAGGGCCAAGTGACACTCTGTAGGGTGGGGGAGGCAGAGCTTTGACCAATGAGAGGCAAGAGACGAGAAGGAGACAAAAAAAATGGCTTCTTTTCCTCTCCCCCATCAAACTGCTCTGAAGCGCAGTGGGTCCATGTGGCGTCTTTGAAGACAGCCCATGTGTCTGGTTAACCAGCTGTGCGTGGTTGCAAAGCTGTGGCCAGCCCAGAAATATCGCAGCCTGTATTTGTTCTCTTCCATCCCTGCCTCACTTCCCTTTTCCTGCACTCTTACTTCCCTAGGACTGCACTCCCTGAGAGAGTGTTAGCACAGAAGGTGTTGCCTCAGTCTCTTTAGTAAGAAACATCCCACAGCGAAGGTTCTACATTCAACTCTTGGTTACGCACTTTGCAGATCTGCAGCTGGCATTTTCTTCCTGGGTTCATCTCATCTGCTTCCTAGGGTGTTGGGGCTACCTT